TATATAGATAACCTCACTAAATAATTATATATTTAAAAAAATAATAAAAAAGGATCAACTTGACAAGTTTGTTTATAGTAAAAAAACATATGTATCTGTATATAAAAACTTTATCCCAACCTATTATATCACAGACTAGGGATGCCAAACGGGAATTTTCGATTCCCGAAAATCCCGGGATTTTCGGAATTTGAAAGTACCGAAAACCGGGATTTTAAAAAATGAAATCCCGGGAAATTTCGGGATTTTAAAATCCCGAATTTTTAAGTATTTTTCCGCTATTTTATACATTATAAAGTACTAAATAAGAGAAGTTTAATAGTTTTTGGACTTAAGATGACTCTACTAACTTACAAGCTGAAATATCAAAAAAAAAAAAAAAGTAAGAGTGCTATATTCGGCTATGCCGAATCTAATATATCCACCATCAAACCGTATGCCGTAAAAGGTCATCAAATTTACTGATAGGACCTTATATGAGAGGTAGGGTGAATCATTGACCGTTTTTATAAAATTTTTCATAATTTTTTAGACCAATTTTGGTTCATACACTTTCCGGTAGGAAGATTTACGTTCCTATAAAAGTTTCTTAGCTTTTCGCGAGTAAGAAACTTACTTATTTCAAATTTCATCTCTACACTCGTACTTGTAAGCCAGTAATGAGCGTTAAAGTATTTATCTTATGTAGGGGTAGGGTCAATTATGGACCGAACCACATAAAACTTGGTAGAGAGATTTTGACTCGCATGAAACATATGTGTATCGAATTTCATCGCTATTTTTAAGCCAGTAATAAGCGTTAAAGTCATTTTTTTAACGGGACCTTATATGGGGGTAGGGTCAATTATGAACCGACCCACATAAAATTTGGTAGAGAGGTTTTGGCTCGTCAGGGATTTACTAATATCAAATTTCATTGCTATACTAAATAGGCATAGATACTATCGGATATATAAAAATAAGAAGTACGAAATTATAGGCGGGCGAGGCCGACCATATAACCCCATACACCAGTTATGAGAGTAAAATGTAATTTAGTTTTCATAATAAATGTATACCTCGCCTCCGATATATTCTAGCACTTTATTGTTAAAAAACTATTTTTCTGAAACATGCTTGGGGGAAGGACGCCATCATATGAGTCGATCCTCATAAAATTTGGAGGACGAATTTACGGTTACATAAAATGTTTTATGCTGAATTTCATTGCGACAGTTCTCTTTTTAAGCGAATTGTGGACACTAATTCTTTTTTAAAGCTGTGTTTTGGATGGGGGCTCGGATCAAAAGCCCGATCATTTCAAATTTCATCAGCGTATTTTAGGACAGTATAAAACAAAAGCACTACTCCGGAGAAACCCAATATACCATCCCTACTAAGGGTATAAAAAGGGCAATAAATAGGCATTGATACTATCGAATATCTATAATGGAAGTCAACCTGTCAATAAGATGGCGAGAAGATAATTCCCTTGGTTAGTGAACACGGAATATAAGGTGGAGGAGATATAGGTGCAGTACAGGTGCTCTATGTATCCTCGTATGGATCCCCATTACACATACTATTTAAATATTATTTGGAAACCATTGTAAATTTGGATATCATGGGTATTATTTTAGGTTTTTATTCTACTATTCAGTGCCTGGGATGGAAAGATTTTTATTCTAAGTATGTACTTTGAATTAATTTGTTTTTCTTTTCACAAAATGCTTATAGGAAAGTAAACACCTACTAAGAGTATTCATATTGCAATATGAAATAAAACGTTTTATTTTTGTCGGTAAATTATTAAGATTTTTTGAATTTTTTTTATATTTTTCGGGATTTAGAAAACCCGAAAATCCCGGGATCCCGATATCGGGATTCCGGGATTTATTTAAAAATCCCGAATCCCGGGATTTCTAAAAACCAGTCCCGATTGGCATCCCTATCACAGACATAAAAGCAACACAAACATTTCGTTTTATAAAAATAGAAAAAAATATAATTCGTTTTTAACTAGTTTTCATTTAAATCAAAATAAAATTTCACCAAATAATGAGTAAGAAAACATAAATAACTTTAAATGCAAAAAAAGGAAAACTTGTTTTTAATATCCGACTTCTCCAGAGATTATTTGTTTATTTGTACTATATGTAAAGTAAATATTTTTGTTCAAAAAAAATTTAAGTTTAATTAGTTTGTGAGTCTATAATAAAATGTCAAGTATCATGGTAATATTTTTATATCTACCACCATCAAGGTGGGAGTAAATTGTGTTACTTATTACCAGCTGTGAATGGGAAGCTATTGAAATCTCATGTGTCCGTTAAATCTGATAAAATTAAAATAAATCCCATTATGGGTTTAAATGTCATTAAAGCGATTTTTCCAAGTTCTTTAACTGACGAAAGTGGAGTAATTCTGCTCTTATGCGAATTAATTCTTAATTTTAATGATATTATGCGAATTAATTCTAAACTTTTTCAGTGCTTATTGGATCAAGAATTATTAAAGACTTCTCTATATATACAGTATTTGTGAACGTACCTTGAGTCGAGAGCTCTCTTCATTATAACTTTATAGATTACTATCACATGTCGGATTTAAAGATCATAAACGAAACACACAAAAGTATATATATTCTGGGAACCTTTTAAATTTTATGACGATCTAGTCATGTCCGTCCGTTTGTCTGCTGAAATTACGATAGGGACCACAGAGAAGAAGCTAGTCAGTTGAAACTTTGCGTAAATATTTTCCATTGGAAGGTTTGTCTGATAAATGATGCAAAAATGTAGTAGTGAAAATGGATCTTATCATTCCATTTCTAACACATATATGTAAATACCACCTGTTCTTAAATAGTTCTAAACTTATGTATTTCAAAAAGTATTCGCCACCCATTTGACCATTATTTAAATAGATTTTGCCCCACTGTATAGTACATTTTTTTTTTTTTTTGCCAAAATACATGGAATTTATTGATTAATATTAACACTCACACACAAATCTTTCTGACATATACTATTGACCTTTTCTTAATTTATACAAATCATTGTGGCGTGACTATTAAATAATTTCTATACTTTCAAAACTCCTCCCCGTAGATTTTGCTACCACATGTCCAGTGATATATCATTTATTACAATTTTTGTTTAAATGTGTGGTAAAACGTTTACATATGTTTGTCAAACTTTTATTTGTTACTACGAACTAGAAAGAAACGAATAAAATCCATCATCGTTGTATGAAAGTGGTAAATTGATTGATAGGACTTTGAAGGATTTGTAAAGAGTCAACGGTTATCAGTAAACTTTAATTGAGCAATGTTTGAGAGAAATTGTCGTTAATTCAATTAATTACTGACAGTGATAAAAAATTTAAGTTAAATTACACTTGAGTGTATAAATAACCGTGGATATTTTTTATGAATGTATGTATGTAGTATTAGGTGATTTGCACTTAAGTATGGAATTCCTTGGAATTTATATATATTTCTATCTAATACATATTATGTATGAATATATATCAAACACATAATTTAAGTTCAATTATTTTTATAAATTAATCTCAAATTATTCTAAATCTCCCGAAAAATAACGTTATCAAAACAGACATTTTTCAAACTACATGACACGATATCTGAAAACCTAATGTGATGATTAAATTGTGATGTCAGTTCAGTTAAGTTCTAGTTCAGTTCTAGTTCAGTTCTAGTTCAGTTCTAGTTCAGTTCTATTTCAGTTCTAGTTCAGTTCTAGTTCAGTTCTAGTTCAGTTCTAGTTCAGTTCTAGTTCTATATCAAACACATAATTTAAGTTCAATTATTTTTATAAATTAATCTCAAATTATTCTAAATCTCCCGAAAAATAACGTTATCAAAACAGACATTTTTCAAACTACATGACACGATATCTGAAAACCTAATGTGATGATTAAATTGTGATGTCAGTTCAGTTAAGTTCTAGTTCAGTTCTAGTTCAGTTCTAGTTCAGTTCTAGTTCAGTTCTATTTCAGTTCTAGTTCAGTTCTAGTTCAGTTCTAGTTCAGTTCTAGTTCAGTTCTAGTTCAGTTCTAGTTCAGTTCTAGTTCAGTTCTAGTTCAGTTCTAGTTCAGTTCTAGTTCAGTTCTAGTTCAGTTCTAGTTCAGTTCTAGTTCAGTTCTAGTTCAGTTCTAGTTCAGTTCTAGTTCAGTTCTAGTTCAGTTCTAGTTCAGTTCTAGTTCAGTTCTAGTTCAGTTCTAGTTCAGTTCTAGTTCAGTTCTAGTTCAGTTCTAGTTCAGTTCTAGTTCAGTTCTAGTTCAGTTCTAGTTCAGTTCAGTTCTAGTTCAGTTCTAGTTCAGTTCTAGTTCAGTTCTAGTTCAGTTCTAGTTCAGTTCTAGTTCAGTTCTAGTTCAGTTCTAGTTCAGTTCTAGTTCAGTTCTAGTTCAGTTCTAGTTCAGTTCTAGTTCAGTTCTAGTTCAGTTCTAGTTCAGTTCTAGTTCAGTTCTAGTTCAGTTCTAGTTCAGTTCTAGTTCAGTTCTAGTTCTAGTTCAGTTCTAGTTCAGTTCTAGTTCAGTTCTAGTTCAGTTCTAGTTCAGTTCTAGTTCAGTTCTAGTTCAGTTCTAGTTCAGTTCTAGTTCAGTTCTAGTTCAGTTCTAGTTCAGTTCTAGTTCAGTTCTAGTTCAATTCTAGTTCAGTTCTAGTTCTGTTCTAGTTCAGTTCTAGTTCAGTTCTAGTTCAGTTCTAGTTCAGTTCTAGTACAGTTCTAGTTCAGTTCTACTTCAGTTCTATTTAATTATGACTTTTACATTCTAAGATTTTGAAAAGCTGTTATACTTTATTATATGCAACCCTGTTTCAAATATTTAGCCAATACACGAACCCAAGATAAATATCCATTTTTCCTGTAATTTTATCCACTACACTAAACAATCTAAACACAGCCGCGGATAACTTGATAGAATCTTTGACATTTCCAACAACCAACTGTCAAATTGCAAAAGGGGGTGCATGTGTGTGTTTGTGCGTATGCACGAATAGAACAAGAAAAAAATTTGAGAAGTGAAAAAGTGATGATGAAAGAAAATTTTTATTTAAAAAGAAATTAAATAAAATAAATAAAAAAGAAAGAAATTTAGCTATATAATAAATGAAATTAAGAAATTTATAATTCATTAAGTGTAAAGAAAAATAGAAAATATAAAAAATAAGTGAATGTTGTAGAAAAATCCGTAAAAAAATTTTAATTTTTGCTTTGCCCACTAGAAAGAATATAAAATTAAGAAAAACAAAGAGGATTATAAGATAAATACAAAAAACCACCAACAAAAAATATAATTTATAGAGATATAAAAGGTAAATTTCTGTTGAAATACACATCTTAAAATAAACATCAAATTTGTGAATATTCTTTGTTAATAAAATTTAAAAGGGAAGTTGTTAAAAAAATGAACTAAAATAAAAAAAAAATTGCCGAGTTTTTGTAAAAAACGCTGCGATGTTTGCAGCGCAGCACCTCCGCCCAAATACAAAATGTAAAATAAAGCAACAACAATAAAAACACGGTGCTTACTTATTACATTGACAATAATAGCAACAACAAAACACCAATAAGAACAATAATGTGCAGAAAAAACAACAACAATAAGAAACAACCTAAACCAAACCATTCATGCAACAAACCAAACAGAACAAAACCAATTTCAGTTCAATTCATCCACTTTGACACTAGTATATGCGGGTTGTAATATTTTCGTACTGTTGTTGTTATTTTTGTTGGTTTTTTTGCATTGTTGTAAATTTTATTTGATTTTGCCATGTGATATTTTGGGTAATTTTGTGTAAAAGACTACTAAACAAAATGTAAATACCTACATTGACCGGCATGGTTCAGCCACTTTATGGGTTGACCACAAAAGTGACTCAGAATTTAACACTTCCATTAGAACGAAGACAAATATTAACATTCTTTTTACTTGCATTTTACAACAATATTAAATTTCTTATCTAATTGTGGTCCACTTAAATATACAAGTAATTTCACTTTACTTCTTCAGGTATAAACTAAATAAATTCTTTATGTAAACATTAAGTCGCCACTTTTTATTTGTAAACAAATGTTCGTTTATCTTGTTTAAATTATATTTTAACATTTATCGCAAAAGTGTCTAGTGTAAATGTTTATCTAGAATTATTTTCAAAATCCACAAAAGCATATATGACTCATTCAAGGACCATTCATATAAAACTCAGATAGGTATAAAGTATGTACATTTTAATGGGACTTTATCTTTTACCACTTAAAATAAAAATAATTTCCACTTTTTATTAATTGGTCGTCAGTCTATTGTCTACTAAATTATTCAGAATTTAGTGAACATACCGTTCAGTTCTGTCCTAGTGCTGTTCTAGGTCGGTTCCAGTTCAGTTCTAATTCATTTCCAGTTCAGTTCTAGTTCACTTCTAGGTCAGTTACAGTTCTAGTTCTGTTCTAATTCGTTTCCAGTTCAGTTCTAGTTCATTTCTAGCTCAGTTTTAGTTCAGTTTTAGTTTAGTTCAGTTCTAGTTCAGTTCTAGTTCAGTTCTAGTTCAGTTCTAGTTCTAGTTCAGTTATAGTTCAGTTCTAGTTCAGTTCTAGTTCAGTTCTAGTTCAGTTCTATTTCAGTTCTAGTGCAGTTCTAGTACAGTTCTAGTTCAGTTCTAGTTCAGTTCTAGTTCAGTTCTATGTCAGTTCTAGTTCGGTTTTAGTTCAGTTCTAGTTCAGTTCAGTTCTGGTTCAGTTCTAGTTCAGTTCTAGTTCAGTTCTAGTTCAGTTCTAGTTCAGTTCTAGTTCAGTTCTAGTTCAGTTCTAGTTTAGTTCTAGTTCAGTTCTAGTTCAGTTCTAGTTCAGTTCTAGTTCAGTTCTAGTTCAGTTCTAGTTCAGTTCTAGTTCAGTTCTAGTTCTAGTTTAGTTCTAGTTCAGTTCTAGTTCAGTTCTAGTTCAATTCTAGTTCAATTCTAGTTCAATTCTAGTTCAATTCTAGTTCAATTCTAGTTCAATTCTAGTTCAGTTCTAGTTTAGTTCTAGTTTAGTTCTAGTTCAGTTTTAGTTCAGTTTTAGTTCAGTTCTAGTTCAGTTTTAGTTTAGTTCTAGTTCAGTTCTGTTCGGTTTTAGTACTTGCTCCATTCTAGTTAAGTTCTGTTCAGTTCATATTTAGTTAATTTTATTTCAGTTTTTTTTCAGCAAATTAAATAATTTAATAGATTTTTAATTTTGGAACTGTATTGAGCAAGTCCTTCTAACCTATCATTATACCTTTGCCTTATACGCAAAGGTATAAGGCGATGTATTATCTGCAGCTTTTCTGTATTTCTGTATATATTGCCATTCATTACATTATATTATACATTCATTTATATACAGTGTCTCTCATAATTATCCGAATTTGGGTAAACTATAAAAAGAAACCAAATTTAATAATATATTTTGTGTGCAAAATAAATAAATTAATTTGTTATATTGTCTAGATAGTCCTTATGTTTGATATCACGCTTTTAAAAACTTGAAAAATTTGCATTGACTTAAATTAATTGTGCTTTTTTAAAAAAAGTCCATGAAATTGCCTCACAAAAGTATACGAATTTTTCCTGTATTTCATATTTGATCATATTATACGCAACACAAATTTTAGAATCGAATGGTTTTTATGCGTAATATTGTTTTAAGGGGTTACTATCCACGGAAAGGATATATTTTTGGCCTATTTGGTCCACAATTTTGGGGAATTTGTACCCTCTTTTCATGTAATATCATTAAAATAGCGATTTTTGGCCATAATTGTAAATTTTTCTCCTTTTTTCCAGAGATAAAACAAAAATTTGATATTGGGACTTAAAAGACCCCTTGGGGTATGTAAAAATAATATCTTTTGTTACAAGAATCTGTATTTAAACGTTCCACGATAAATTATTCGGATCATTCTTCTTTCGCTAATTCAATATATTGGAACTTAAGTCCATTTTTATAATACTAGGATCAACTATTTTCGGGGAAAGTTTTCTGGTATATATTCTTTTAGATATCAGCTTTTATACATTTTAAGTTTTCAATGTGTTGTGGAATTGTACAACTCCAAAACATGCCTCGAAGAAACACCATTCAAAATAGTAAAATCATTATTTTTATATACCAATGGCCTCCATGCTGCATGGCACGATATCATTATGATCACATCAAAAAGGTTGATATGTGTTTAAATATTATTTACTATGATCAAATTAAAACCAAAATTTAGGACTTACAGTGTTATTGTAACGGGCAACATAGGCGTGAAAGTTACGGGTAGTAAAAACTGAAATCTACTATATAGGATGACGTTTTGTTAAGGCATGTTTTGGGGTTGTATACCGCTATAATATATTGAAAATTTAAAATACATTAGTGCCAATATGTACATGAATATACACTAGACAACTTTGTCGAAAAATATCGTCCCTAGAGGTACGAAAAGGGACTTATGATCCAGATAATTCAATTAGAAACTGAAAAACGATACCAAAAATACATCTTGGAACGTTTTAGTACAGATCCTTATAACAAAAAATATTATTTTTAGATACCCTATGGGTTCTATTAAATTTCAATATTAAATTTTGATTTTATTTCTGGAAAAAGGGTGAAAACATTACAAATATAGCCAAAAATCGCCATTTTAATGATATTACATGAAAAGAGGGTACAAATCCCCCAAAATTGTGGACCAAATGGGTCAAAAATATCCATGCGGTTGACAGTAACCCCTTAAAACCATATTAAGCATAAAACCATGCGATTCTAAAATTTGTGTATCGTATAATATGATCAAATATGAAATACAGGAAAAATTCGCATACTTTTGTGAAGTAGTTTCATGGACTTTTTTTAAAAAAAGCACAACTAATTTAAGTAAATGTAAAGTTTTCAATTTATAAGGGGCGTGATATCAAAACTAAGGACTATCTAGACAATATAATAAATTAATTTATTTATTTTCCACACAAAATATATTATTAAATTTGGTTTCTTTTCATAGTTTACCTAAATTCGAATACTTATGAGAGACACTGTACATATTGATATAATCTAAAGTTAAGAAGATAATAATTTTAAGCCTATTACAGTAAATCTACTTCAAAAATACTACCAAATGTCATAAGAATTAAAATCAAATACATAACTTCAAAAAGAAAAAACTGAAAGATTGTGAAATGACTTTCTTTCTAACTCAATCGTATTTCTTTTTGTTTTTGCTTTTTTATCATAAAGTTTGTTCATCTTTTTATGAAATAAACTACAAAAAAAAAAAAAAAAATCAAAAAGTAAATGCACTCTACTTAATCAGCCACCCATGGCATTACATGACTCTGGTCTGCTTAAAGATTTGTTGCAGCAGTTTTCAATGCTTATATGAATTTAGTTGTTTTTGTATATAATTTGTATTTTGTTTTTATTCGTATTTCTTATACACACACGTACACATATTTCTATTATAATTTAGCATCACGAATATTTGAAAATTTTAGATAGAGTAAAGAAAAAAACCCACTCATATGTACTTTAGTCCCCTTTTTTGGAAATTAGCTTTTAATATCATGATGCATCTAATGCCAGACTGTGCCACTTGATTTCGTGAGTTTATATAAATATTTTTTGCTTCATTTTGTTTTTATTTATTTAGTGTTTTTTTTTTGTATTTTTTTTTTCTTTTGGGTATTTTTTATTAATTGCGTTTATTTTTAAAACATTAGACAACCGACCGGCGTCATTTAAGCATTTTTGACTTGTAGCTTCCAACAAACAACCAAATATACACACATGCAGTCATGACCAAACAATTTGAGCTCCCCCCACAATTTGTTTATAATTTAGTTGTTGAATATATGTATATAAAATTTGTTTCATTTATTTAAAGTGTCCCCCCTTGTTCTGGTTATTTTTCTTTTTTGTCTAAGTATTGATGCTTTTTCACTTTGGAAAATCCCTTTTTTTATGCAGAAAAATTTATCAACGTCTCTTGATGATCTAAGATTTAGTGTGCTTTTCCTTAGTGTTTTTGTGTGTGAGCTATTTTAAAATTTCCCCCCATTTTAAATTTGCAAACAAGAAAAAAATTAAACTAATGTCGTGCTCTCTTTTTTGTACGTTGTGACAAATTTCTATTCTATTTTTATTTTTAATGTTCACTTCATTTTTAATTTTTTTTTTTTTTTTGGTTTAATTTAGTTTTTATTTTTTTATTATTTATTTTAATTCTGTTTCATTTTGTTTGTCTCATTTCGTTTGTCATTTTTAATGATTTTTGTATCTTGTTTATTGCCATTTGCCACTCCTTAGAAATGTGTTTTTTATATATTTCACAAAAAAATATTCTCCATAAACAAATGTTTTGCAAAATCATGTATGATCACCTACCTCATTATTTGTGGTCAATGCACTATGGGAAATAACAAGTTTTTCGGCTTATTTATTATTTGGAATTGACATTATGTCATGTCACACAAAATTTTAGTATTTAAACGGAAATAATAAAATGTTAGTGTTAATTTTTTTGTAAATACGTTTTATATTGTTAAAAGGTGCTTTAATATACAAGTTAATAATATAATTCTCTTAAAACTTCAAGAATTATAATTAAACTTGATTTAACAATTTTGTGGCGTAAGATTTAGATATTTCCCAAAGATATATTGATATGTCTAAACATATTTTTGTTGAGTTTTAACAACTGATAAATTTAATTGCCAACCTGGCAAAATCTAAAAACCTTGAAATTTTTAATACCTTAATTTTAAAACTAAAACTTTATTAAATTATGAATTATAAAGAGCAATAAGACTTAATAAGAAATCACTGTTATGGTACCAATTGCATGATCTCTTAAATGCGTGTAATTCCACATTTGAGTAGTTAACCGTAAAGATTATCTAATTCGTTATTGGATCTATTAACAAACAGTAGTTAAATCGACTTAAACAGCGTAGATTTGTATTAGGAGTTAATAAAAAACTGAAACTTCAATTCGATAGTGTTTAATACAAAACAAATGTCAAAAAGTGTGAATATCTATTTCGTTGACATTTTGTCTAAAACGATAATATGCATAACCGATCAAGAAACTACGGAGAATCGTCAATAACAAATACTGCTCTAAAAAACAGTGGCTTGTGTGTTATCTATGAGGCACATTGGAGAGCATTGGTTAAAAATCAAAATATTGTAAGATGAAACTAATATGTTATTTGGACTAATTTCAGCATTGGCTTTCGATCTTGTTGAATATTCTGCTGGAACTCTACTCATATGATTGAAATTGTTAATTTGCCTTACGAGTATAAAATTAATATAATGTTAAATGATTGATTCCAGACATTATGCAGTTGTTAACCAAGCGGTGTTCATTCAAACGTTTAGGTTCTGATACAGAGTTTGTAATTGTTGCACCAAAAGTTCTTTCAAAAAGAAGTAAGGTTTTAAATTTGTCCCATAGAGGGCATCAACGTTTTGGATTTTATTCACTTACATCTAAACTGCTTAACCGTGTATTTAAACATTATCGGCCTTATTCATAAGGAAAAACGATATGCTAACTATCTTGCTGCAAACTTTTTTGTGTGTAAATTCCCGTAAGGGAAAGTTGACAGCTTGTTAGCATGTAGATCTTTATGTAAAGAGGTCATATTAATGACCAGTAATCCTGGTAGGGTTCAGCTAATTCTTTATAAGATAATTACAAAAAATAATAAAACTTTCGGAATCGGTCGAAATTATAAAACAAAGAAGATAATGCCAAATCTTGCTCCCCCAGTTGTAGTCTATTCCAATTGTAAATCTTTGCTACATTGTCGCAATAGATTTACAATAGATTTAATTGTCAATGTTCGTTCCATGCCCCTGATATCGTTAGGAAAACTTCAAAAGTTTATCCGAATGTCAACGTATTGTACCCCAGTAATGAGAACAGGAGGACAACCTGCTAACCTATGTAGATGTTTCGAAAATGAATATTCATTATGGAAATTTGATGGTTATGCAGTGCGGAACTGTCTTATCAAAAAGATTTAATGTTGGCTAACCTACAGACATATAGATATAATCAGTAGCTTCATTCATGACCCAAAGTGTTCTAGACTATCTGGCAATATATTTCTTACATTTTCATTGTTTTAATGCAGATTAAAGATTATCAGCTTTAACACAAATTAATATTGTTTCAAGATCAGTTATGTTGACCAGATATTCTGATATTTTTAACATTTATATTTTATGATTTAGTAGTTTATCCGAATGACTACTGCTATACACCTGTCTCAAGTCCTGATGGAGTATGGTGATTGAGAAATGCTCTTTTAGGAGCAGAAGCAGTAGAGTAGAGATATTTCGAGGTTTTTCACGTCAAAATCCAAAAGACTTTAAGTTAATCTAGAAAAAGATACATATATGGTAATAAACCCGTTTTTTATTTCTTGATACGATATCTCGAAAACCTATTATGATGGAAAAATTTTGATTCCGCTGCTTAATCCATTAGAAAAGTATACTTTAGTCTTAAAGTTTCGAATTTTTATTATATTAAATAGATGTTCTTTGTTATAATTAACATCAATTTGTCTAAAAAGCTTTTATATACAAATGTTTGTCTCCAAATTTTTAATTAATTATTAAAAACATTAATTCAATATTAAGCAATTTAATTAATTATAATACAACAATCTGAAGTAGTATTTCATTTTATTCAAAAAAAAAACCAAGCACTTTAACCGCTCAAAGGTCTTGAAATTTTTAACCTCAATTTCCTTTTCTACTCATACTACATAACATTAACATTTCACATACAATTAAATAAATATATATTTTTGCAAACCATCAAAAAAAGAACTATTCTTTGGTCATACATTTAAAATTCCATAAATTCATTACTACATACTATACTTTAATCAATTTAATTAGAAAAAGTAGCAAACAAAAAAAAAGAAACACATTCTATAAGTTCCTCATTGCACGCAACACCATGCACTCACTCCTCCGTCATGTCCAAATGTACACACTTGAAACACAAGTATGGGTTGCTGTTTTAAAAAAATAACATTCAATTGTTTAACTTCATTGAATTGTGAATTGTATGAGCTAAAAAAAAAGTTTCAACTTAGTTTTCATTTTGTTTATTTTTTTTTTATAATTTGTGTAAAGTAAAAAGACAACATTTATCATGGAATACGTAACGCACCACATATATTAAATTTTTGGACAGAAATTTAAAATTTTGTTATCTTTTCTTTTTGGTCTGTAAGTTTACTACACGAAAACTGTCATATAGAGTCGTAAGGATAAAATGTAACGATCAGTTATCAACAAAAAACTTTGAACTTCAATTTCCAAAGAAATTTTGAGCTAAAGTTTTCTATAAAAAATGTTATCGATAATTTACTTTGAATATCTCTAGATTATTTTTGCATAAATCTATACAAAACTTTTTCCATCAATATCTTTTTAGGTCCATAGTTCAGTTTTACATTGAAAGCGTTGACGATCAGTTTTCTTTAAATATGAGTTTTCTATATAAACCTTGGTTTCTATTGACGATCATTTAAGATCATTTTTTAATAAATAATCATTAAAATCCAATCTCTATTTGATATAAAACGATCTGTTGGCCAAAAAAACTTCAACGATCAGTTTTTTTTAGAAAATTTTAAATTTAAATTTTTTTTAGAAAAGTTAAAAAATAACTAAATAATTAACTCTTTTACAAATCTGCCTTTTAAGCAAAAATAAAACTATATTATAAAAAAAAAATAATATAAAGAACTTGACGACAAACGTAACATATCATGTCTTCTTTTATTTTACAGATGTCAACAGGAAGACCCATCAAATGTGTTGTCGTTGGCGATGGTACTGTCGGCAAGACATGCATGTTAATATCATATACCACAGATAGTTTTCCCGGTGAATATGTGCCTACAGTGTAAGTTTCACTAGCAAATTAAACAACAATAACAAAAAGAAACATTTTATATAACAAAAAACATTTTATCAAATGCACACTTATATAAAAATGTTTCTTCGAACTTTATATGAAAATGGTGTCATGTTGTCTATATTTCTATTTCTGCAGTTTCGATAACTATTCAGCACCCATGCAAGTAGACACAATACAAGTATCACTGGGTCTATGGGATACAGCCGGGCAAGAGGATTACGATAGATTACGGCCACTTTCATATCCACAAACGGATGTATTTCTGATATGTTTTTCAGTGGCGAGTCCATCATCGTTTGAAAATGTCACCTCAAAATGGTATCCCGAAATAAAACATCACTGCCCCGATGCGCCCATTATATTAGTTGGTATGTATTAGTTGTTATTTATTATAATTTTAATTGTAATCCTTATATATTAACATTCTGTTAAGGTACGAAAATTGATTTACGTGAAGATCGTGAAACGCTTAGTGCTTTGTCTGAGCAGGGCTTAGCGCCTTTGAAACGTGAACAAGGACAAAAATTAGCAAATAAAATACGTGCTGTTAAATATATGGAATGTTCAGCTCTAACACAACGAGGCCTAAAACAGGTTAGTGCATTTACTATTCTTTCTTTTTTCTATATTTTTTTATTATATTTAAAAAAAACACCTAAAAACGTCTCAAAAAAACCCCTATATGTATTTCCTCTAAAGGTATTCGAAGAGGCTGTGCGTGCCGTTTTAAGACCTGAGCCCCAAAAACGACGTCAACGAAAGTGTATAGTTATGTAAAAATATATTCTTAATGTTTATATTAACAAATCTCCTACTTTATTTCTCCAAACTCCTCTCGAAAACAATCTCCGCTACATCGATTCTTTGCCCTCTTAACCCTGTCCAAACAAATTTTGGTTGTATTTTGGTTTGTGTCACCTGTGTATGTATGTCTTATTTTAATATTCATTCTTTTTAAACTAAATTAAACAACTACTGGTAAATACGTTGAGTAAACTTTACGCAAATAAGAATCCTTTTAAGTCCTATATTTATAAACTACATCTAAGTGAGAGAGATACACAAAATAAGAAAAACCACTAGTTTTTATACCTTTTAAACCAAATTGCTAAGAAAAAAAAAATTAAGGAAAACAAAATTTATAAAATAAAATAAGAAAAATACAAAAAATGTCCTCGAATTGATTATCAAATTTATTAAGAAAATCAAACACAAATTTATATTAAAACCAAAAGAAATATAAGAAAACCTACAATTAGTTTCACTCATTCTTATGATTTTGTTAAACATACCACTTCATTTTCATGTCATTCATATTACATTCAAAACTCATATTTTCGTTATAATTTAATTTGCTCAAATTCGAATTTCGTTTTAACTTTTAAGTTTTTTTTTTATATATATTTTTATTTCTTTTATAAGAAATCAAATAAAACAAGAGTTCCAAAGAATTGTTGGTTTATTTAATATTTACATTGGAGTTGAACGTGAGATTTTTCTCATATTTTATTAACTGTCCAGAAATTTAATTTAGATTGCGGTATATTTCATTAAGATTTGACGCCAAATTTAGTCGATTTTTTTAATTTTTGAACCCAAGTTCGTGGACACACACAAATTTTAGAATTAATTCATAAATATGTACCTTGAATATTTGAAAGTTCTAATTCCAAAATTATGAATAAGGTCGTTTATGTCTGTAGTTCAATTTTGTCCTCTTTATTCTAAATTGTGTTGAATATACAAAAGCAAGATATTGATCTGTTTCATGAACACATTTTGAAGGAACTCAGATCCATATTTTAAAGTTTTTGTATGACCATAGGTTAGAAAGGGACCACTTGAAGACCGTTATTGTCTAATGTAACGTAGAAAAGTATAAGTAGAAGCTAGCAGAAAGTAGTCTAGTTAAGATTTTGAAAGTAAGGGCTATTTCTTCTGATAAAACCTGCTATATTGCATCCATCAATATAACGCGGTTCGTCGTGAAATATATTCTCTAGCAATTTCTCCTTGAGACCCTGTAATCTAGGACTGGGACACTGAATAACAAATTCTCAGGGAGTTCTATACCTAAAGCACGCAAAAGGGAAAAAACTCCCGGAGGATATTTATTCATAATTGACCTGATTATACGTTCTACGTCCGGTATAGTCATGTTCCATTTGCTAACAAAGACCCTAATAGAACAATGGCCCTTTAAAATCAATATCACTAAGTACATTGGTTGTTTTTGCATTATGTTTTGTTCATAAGGCGTTGATAGCATGGAATTCAAATTAATGTTCCATAACTGGTTAGTTATGTCCCCAAAATCTATCAGAGATTATCCTGTAATAGTGATAAATGGTTGACTTAACCCTATTGATCTTATTATAAACAGTCTTATAATATCACCAAAAAACACATGTATGGCTTATTAATGCTCTGAGAGAAGCCTGACTATTGACATAAATTTTCACCTCAAACTCCAGATCAATGTTATCCCGTATCAGTGCGGACGCTTTTCAGATTGTTAAGTTTTTCACTAAGAAACGTCAGTGAATATTGCACACACCTCGAACAGTTTATCGGATCTAATCCAATCTTATTTAGTTGGCAACTCTAACATAGCCTCGCCGTTTAATGTCGTAATTCTATGACTACAAGGAAAATTAAGACAGATGCCTGTCTTAATTTCCTGTAGGAACTGTATTATTGCCCTAGTAGTTAAGGATCTCACCCGGCCTGCTGATCTAGACTATATATTTTATTATCAGCTTCAGAACTGCCAGAACTCCATTTTAATTTATTCCTAATGTTATCAAGGGTTTATTAAACAGTTATTTTAAACAAATTTCCTGTTTTATCAATAAATTTGTTAATCATTTATCAATATGGGAGTTAATTATTAGACGGAATATATTTAATTTAGTTTTTTTTAAGAAAAATTCTAACCTAATGAGAAGATCACTAAATGGATTTATGTCCGAATTCAGAAAGAAGAAAATTAACAATTTTAAACTATTTTGTATGAAAACTACACAGTTTTTGTTAGTGTTTTTCATACAAAATATTATATATTGTTTTACATTTTCTATCCGGATAAGGGCCGTAACATTAATATGTGTTCCAAAACGTATTCTGTATAAGAATGAAAGATACAAATAATTATTTGTATCCTTATTTAAAGCTTATAAAACTTGCTTCAGAAATCTCTCAAGACTTTTGAAAGCTTAAACCAAACAGCATATTCCAATTCCATTAAAAAAGGAAAATTGTTAAATAATCTTAATTTCGGAATCTGTTTAGCTCGTATTTTTATAGAAGATTTTTCTTAATTCCTCTTTCAAACTTTATCTATACAAGTTTTTTTATTCTGTTATTAATATCAATTGATATCTATATGTTCATATAAATTTTCGGAAGGTTTCGGACATTTGACGGTCCCAAATTTTAGTTCAATCTTTCAGGTATACGTTTGAGAATCTGAAAATTAATTATTTATTTGAAATTAATAAAATTATATATTAAAAAATATGATATTCGTTTTATAAAAAAAAAACATTTATCACTGACATTTTGTTGATAAATATATAAATTTATTATTGAAAAGGGAGGGGGACGTACATATTTTTATACAAATATTAATTATGAGATTATAATGTAGCAGCAAGAGAAAAAATATATATTTTATAGAATTGCATATAGAAAGGGACTCATTGTTTTATTTTTTTTTTAATTATCTTTTCAATTATTATTTTATTTCTATGAGTGAGTAACTAAAAACAAATACTAAACACAACATGAGCTTAATTACAAAAGAGCAAAAGTTTTTTTTAATAAAAATCAATTTTAATTTTTTTCCTTTTTTGCCAATTACATTAAAAAAACTTAAACTCTAACCAGCAACACAAAAACCCAGCCTGTAAAAAAATAAATTATAAAATTTTTTGTTTTTTTCTTAAAAAAAAAGAAATGCTTATCTAGTCAATTGAATATTTTACAAAAGTATTGTTGTAATGCAAAGAACAAAAGAAAAGAAACCTAAAATTATTAAAAAATAAAACTCACATATATTTTTATGCATTCGAACAAAACGTAAATCATATAAACATTAATTCATTTAGCGCATATCACAACCATAAACATTTAATTGTTTTTATTTTCAATTCAATTTTCTCTAAACTTTAACTAAACATTATATTTGCATTAATATTTTAATAATATTTGTTTTTTGTTTAAAATAAGCACAAAATATATTTAAATTTAATTTTAACTACATATTTTTTTAATCTGCATTTTAAAAGGAAAAAAAAAAACGCAGCTTTAAAATTAAATTCCCTAAATTGTCCTTTTTTTATTGATTGTTATTATTTCGTTTATTTCTTTTTATTACAATTTTATTTTAAAAATAATACATTTTTATAGTTACTATTATTAACAACAAACAAATTTGATAAACAAGAAATATATAAAAAAAGAAAACCTATGTTTTGTGAATATCTCTATATATGCATTTATATATTAACTCGAATCAAAAAAAATTATTAATTATATATATTATTAATTTCTTTTTTATATAAATATATATTATACAAATAAATATTTAAATGTATTTTATTATGTTCTTTTATTTTATTTTCCAGTTTAAGTCTCATTGAAACGGTTAGAGATGAATTAATGGAAACTTTTGTTAAAATATATTTATCTTTTCTTTTATCGTATCTTTATCTATTACTGAATAGTCTTTATTGAAAGAACTGTTCTTTATTTATAATTTTGGCTTCTAAGACATTACATTCTAAATTTATATTTTCTCCAAAATTCGACAAGATTTTACCTGTAAATGGAATAATGTCCAAAGGTCGCATTTTTTAACCTTGGGAGGGTATTATGCATTTGTGCTGATGTTTGCTCTAATCTGTTCAGAATCACTTTCCCAATCGCTTAAGCTATCTCTGCCTGTCTGTATGTCTGTCTGTCTGTCCGTACGTCTGCGATGGTCACACAGACGTAAACCTTGTACATATACTAAAAATAGCAATTTTCAAGATAATTTGATGAAATTTGGCACATGCTCTTGACCCAACGACGAAGCCTATTGAAAATGACTGAAATCGGTTTATTATTTCACCTGGCCCCTATACAACCGTACCCCCGGAATAGGGCTTCTGAGCATATTCTATAATCCCTGCACGAATCAGCAAAACTTAGTTTATATGAGTCTAAATGATTCTGGCAATTTTCGTAATGATCGGCCCTCATATGACCGTAACCCTCATAGAAAGTCCCCTTCAGAAAATGACTTGAAGGTCAATAATTCTCTTATAAACAACAATATCACGATGAAATGTAATGGAGCATTGGGGCATAACATAAATTTTATACCGAGACACAAGCTCACGTTATGTACTTTTAAACATCGTGAGCGGTTAAGGTTTAATTGACTAAAATTTAAAACTATGATGATGTCCACTAGATGCCTTAGTTCTTGAGTTTATCGACTACGAAGGAGACCGAAAAGGGAGAAAAACATATTTTATTCGATTAGACAGTTTTGTAACTCTAAAAGAGTAAAAAGTGGTTGGTTACTTTTTGCTTGAAAGACGCCCTTATTAAACTTCGACATCGGAAGAAAACGGCATATTACCCCAGCAAAAAAAGTGAGGAAAAAGAAGTAGAATTTTCACCACAAATAACATACTTGAAGTACTTCCAATTATGGTGAAAAACCTATGAATTTTACATTAGCGTGTCATTGGAGGGATGTTGTTCATTTTTGACAACTTTGAACTACATTTAATCTTATTCATAGATGCTGTAAAAATCCGATATTTGGATGTCAAAAATAAACCACATTCTTTCAATGACACGCTTATGTAAATTTCATTGGTTTTTCATCAAAATTGGAAGTACTTCAAGTATGTTATTTGTGGTGAAAATTCTACTTCTTTTTCCTCACTTTTAACTCGGTTTTTATTTGTAAGGAAATATTTGGTTTATAGAAGCGAAAAATATGCAATCGCATTTTTAGATGTGATTAAGATGTCGTTTGTAAAGTATGACATCAATTATTTTTTGCTGGGACCTATTAAATGAAATGACTAGTTTTTGAGTGAATTGCATGATT